GTTTGTAGTAGCCCAAACTGGACAGAGCCCATATATTTTTCAATGGGCAACTGGTTAAACAGATTGGGGAACATCCATTCTGTGAATTCCTATGCAGCAATGTGGTTATTCTGGACAACCTGGGTGACTCTCTAGGGAACTGTGCTCAGTGCAAAAGCCAATCCCAAAAGGCTACATGCTATATGATTCCGGGTCTATAGCATTTTTGAGCGCACAAGTGTTAGCAGATTTGTGTGCCAGGAGGTAGGGGGAGCAGTTCAAGGGATCCCCTGCTGACAGAGATGTTTAGTATAACTGTGGTGGTAGACACATGAACCTCAATGTGGATGAAAGTGCACAGAACTGTGTTACACCTGCACACAGATGAGTGCATGTAGCAAGGTCAATGGACTATGTCAATGTCAATTTTCTGGCATATTGTCCTAAGGTTTTGTGAGATAGTATTGTTGGGGGAAGTGAGGAAAGGGTACAAGGGCTCTGTTATTTTTTTATAACTGCACATGAATCTACAGTTCAATTGAAAAAAGGTCTTAAAATTTTTGAAGCCATTAAAAATGTGTACTATACACCCAGGCCTCCAATACATATCTCACAGGGTACAAGGTGGTATGAACAGATGGTGTCCCACCATGAAGAATAAGCTCCACATCTATTTGGCATCTGTCCCAAGAAAGGTCCTGTGCTGGGTGCTGCCTACAGGGTGTGAGCATGCTGGACCAGGATGCTGAACTGGCTGAATGCTGGATGAGGACACTGGACTGTACCCTGGGTGAGGACGTTGGACTGGATGCTGGACTGAACGCTGGACTGGATGTTTTGATGAGGATGCTGTACTAGATGCTGGGCCCTTCCCCTTGCCAACCTGCAGGGGGCAGCCTGGCCATGCAGGGAGAAGGCTATGGTGAAAGGCGCTGCTGGGCTCTGCTTCCCAGTCCCAGCTGTGTCAGCACTGTGTTCTCCCCCTTCCCCACCCCACCCTGCCACACACCACATGCCACACACACATGCACACACGCACGCACGCTCCACAACCCATGAGCTCATTCTGCCCACGACTGGCAGGCTGGGTGGGATCATTTCTCCTTGAGCTCTTTGTCCAGCTCAGTTTCAAATGACTCATGAGTGGCTTTTGCTGTCTCCCCCAGGGAGACCCCCTGCCTGGCCCCATAAACCTCCCCAATTAGGCAATGCTTCCTGATAAGCGGCTGTTCACCCAGTCTCCCAGACCACCCGAGAGAACTGCTCCCCCTCCCAGGCAGCAGCCTGGCAACTCGGCCTCCCCAGCCACCTGTGAAGGCAGGCCTCCTGTCCTGTACCCTTGACCCCTCTCCCCCTCTGTCTCTGTCTCTGTCTCTGGTGCAGGGAGGAGGTCCCTAAGCAGGCAGGTGAGGCCTCACCACTGCACCAGATGGAGCCTTGAATATGTTGGGTGGCTTGCTGTCGCCCAGCCTGAGGTCATGGTGGGCGCCCCTGACTTTGCAGGTGTTTGCTGTTTGGTGAGGCCTTGGTGGTCATCTGCATGGCTGGGCCCCTTCCCTGTGTTGGCACTCTCAAGACCTGTTGCTGGGCTGACTCCAGCAGTTCATAGGCCGAGGTCTCATGAAGCTGGGTGTCTGCAGAAGCACTCAGTCCAGTGAGTGTTCATGGCCTGCTGCCTTGGTGCTTTCCTTCCCTGAGTGGGCTTGCTTCAGAGCACACAGCCTTCCCTGGTGCCCACACAGCCCTCTTGGGGCTGTGCACGTTCTAATGCAGAGGTGTCAAACTCATTTTCACCAGGGGCCACATCAGCCTCATGGTTGCCTTCAAAGGACTGAATGTAATTTTAGGACTGTATAAATGTAACTACTCCTTAACTAGGGGCAAGAAGCTCAGCACTGCCACTGGGTAGAAACAAGGTGCTGAGTAAAATAAGGTGGAGGGCTGGATTCTTTCCTTGGGCCTGGTGTTTGCCGCCTGTGTTCTAATGCTTGTTAGGAAAGTGTGCAGAGCAGAGACAGACGCAGCCCAGCCTGGACCACTTCAGGTCTGCCCTGTTCTGCACAGGGAAGCTGAGTCCCTGGACCAGTTACAGCTTGACCTGCTCCTGACTCTGGATGTTCACTCCTGGCCATCTAGTCTATGCTAGGCAGGTCTGGGGGCCTTGGGGATGAAAGAAGCCCAAAGCCTGGCTTCTCCAACATAGGGCCAGTTTGCCGTTTGCTGAAACAAACCATGCTGGGTGTGGGAGGTTTGCCCTCTGGGGAAACCCGGCTCCTAACACTGTGCCCAGAGTTAGTGAGATCATCTTCAAGGTGACTAAGCTAGGAAAGCAGGAGGCTGGGCTCAGGCCTTTGTCCCCAGCTTGCCCTGGGAGGAGTTGTCTAGGTCTCAGTTTACCATCCAGGATCAACTGTGCAGGTGCTGATCTGTCAACAGCTGTTTCTTGTGAGTTCGCTTTCAGAAGTGGAGTTGTCAGGGGAGGTGTTACCAGTGGCCAGTTAGCACAGGTGGACTGGGCTGCATGTGGGGGAGGTGGGAGCTGCAGACACAGAGGTGGAAGCACCTAGGTCCCCTCTGGAGAGGGCTGGACTCCACAGGTGCCTTGAAGGCCAACTTGGCTCTCTCTCTCTGCAATTTAGGAAGGCCCCCAGCTATTGTGAGAGAGGTGGGAATGGAGGCAGAGGCAGGGCAAGGCGGCCAGGTACTAAAGTGGGCTGGGATGGGTTTCAAAGCCTAGCTGCTTCAGCCTGCCTGGGATGGGGGAGCCTGTGTCCAAAGTCTAGCTAGGGTAGGGGTAGCTGGTGGTACCACCTCCATCTGCTGCCATCTCCCCAGGTGCAGGGGGTGGGGCAGTCCTTCCCAGAAGTCAGGTGAACCCCCAACATCCCAACATTGTCTGTGCTGGGCATTGCCCACTACCTAGTGGCCTGGTAAAAGCTGGCCTTGTCCCCTCCCCCAACCCTGCCCTGAAGTGGTCTCTTGGAACCTCTCCCCTGCCAATACCTGGGGTTTCAAACAGGGTATGATGGGACTGCTCATGGCTGGCGGGGCTGACAGGACTATGGTGGCCTTCTCCATCCCCAGTCCACAGGAGGTACTTGTCTTTCCAGCCACTTTGCGTCAGCTCCTGCCCATGGGTCCCAGGCTGGGCCTTAGGTGGCTGCCTGCTTCCTCACATGTGCTGGGTGGCTAATGAGAACCCAGCACTCCCCAGGAAGGGAGCCTGTGATGCTGGCAATGCCTTCCAGACTCACATTCGCAACCTCACACTTCATTTTTCTTGGACAAAATCTCAGTGTCTTTGAACATGTCATCATTCTGTGCCCCTCATGCCACGCCTCACATTTCCTGAGTGTGGGGGCCAGGCCTTTAGGTGGAGGTGCTGGGGCTGTCCCCACCAGTCCTGCAGCCTGCGTGGGCTGCAGCTCTCTCTGCTGTTTCAGCCTGCTTGCTGGTGAGGTGACCGAGTGGGCAAGGGTCCCTGGAGTGGAGAATGACATGAGGCTGTCACAGCCATGAAGAGGCAGCACCATGCTGGTGCTTCCACAACATGATGCCACAACTCAGAAAGGGCCACAGCTCCCTGGGGGGTCGATGGGTCTTCGATAGGGAAACAGCCTGACAGTAAGGGATTTGCCCAGGTCTGGCTCCTTCCTGCGCACCCTTACCCAGCAGGCACTAGGAGCTCACCAGGAGGTTAAGGCCTGCTCACCTGGGTGGCCTTCCCAGAGCAGCAGGAGCCAAATGATGTCCTGCACTAGGGCCACCATGGGAATACATGTTCCGCCCCTCTGCTTTGCTTCTCAGCACTGTCTAGAGACAGTCACCCAGGGTAGGTGCTCAGGGTCCGGGACAGAGCCCAAGGCAGGAGGAAAACTGGTCCTCCACGTTCAGGCGCTGCCAGGGAGCTGCACTCTGCAGAGCTGACCCAGTCTCCAGGCCCCTCCTAGGGCGGCCTGGTCAGCCCACGGGGCAGTCTGTGTCATGTAAGGGCCACCAACATTGTGTGGGCGTCCAGCCCAGCGGGACTCAGAGCCATGCTGCCCTCCCCCATATGGCTGCTAACGGGAGAAGCCCTGGCCCAGGGGCTTGTAAAGATTCTCTGAGGCCACACCCCCAGCCGCTTCTGCTCATCTGTGTTTTAATTTAGATTTTAGGGTCTCTGACACGATTTGCTTCAGAAGTAGCTCCATCTCCTCTGCTTTCTGCCTCTGTTCACTCCAAGCTTCCCCTTCCCCCGGAGCCCCTCTCTCCGGTCTCCCCTATACAGAGGTTTCGAGAAGGGGTCGCCAGATCAGCCGTGGTTGTGACCTCAGCCTTTACCTCATCTTCTACTACAGGATGCGGGGGACAGAGGTCCCAAAAACTTGAGCTCCACGGCCGGCCCGGAGCTGGCCAGATCGATTCATTGCCAGGCCAACAGACCAGAGAGCAGCGCCCCCAAACCTCACCCCTCCCTTTCTGAGCGGTCAGGTTTCGCCAAGGGCGTGGACATCACCTGCTGTCCCGGCTCCCTTTCCTCCAAAGTCCCCAGGGAGCGGAGGGGCGCAGTTCAGCTCCGGCCGACACCGGGTCCCCGGCAGCACCAATCCTCGGCGTCCAGGTCTCGAGCTCCCTCCCGGGCCCCTCCAGCCCGCCAAGTCACCGTCGCTGCCCCGAGTTCTCCCTGCAGTTCCCCAGACGCTCCCACACCCTACGCTCCCACCTCGCCTGCAGACGGGCTTCCACCCAGAGTCCGCCCCGCCCCCAATGCCGTCCAGTTCCAGGGCCGCCCACGCTCCGCCTAGGCTCCGCCTCTACTGCCGCACTGGAGCGCCTTCCCGTCCGGGGCCCGCAGCGTGCACCCGCCCCTGCCGCCCCTCCCGCTGGTCTCCAAGGTCCCACCGCCCCTCGCTCATCTCCCCTCCCCAAAAGTGCGGGACGGCGCGCGCCGAGGCCCGCGGGGCCGGGAGGCACCGCGGCGGGCGGGCTGGCTCGGGTTTCCGCCCGCCCCCGGCGCCGGCGTGACCCCTCCCCGGGCCGGGCCCAGCTGGCGGCCCCGCCCCCGGCCTGGCGCTCCGGGCGCTATAAGAGGGCGGTGGCCGCGGGGCGCCCTGCGCGGGGCCAGGAGCGCGATGGTCAGCCGCCGTGGCGCGGCAAGATGCTGGATGGGCCCCTGCTGGCGCGCTGGCTGGCCGTGGCCTTCGCGCTGACGCTGCTACTTGCCGCACTGCGCCCCTCAGCCGCCTACTTCGGGTAGGTGCCTGGGGGCCCTGCGGGCGGGGAGAGTGGCGGGCAGGCCCGGGGCTGGGGCGGCGCGGGGGCGGGGGCCACCAGGTGCGCGGGGCTGGACTGGAGGGGGCCGTCGGGTTGCCTGGAGCTGTTTGTTTGTGGCGCGCGCGTCGCTGGGTCCGGGAGTCGGTGTCCCTCTTCGGGGCTCGGGGAGAGGGGCCCGCGTACCCGACGGACTGGCGTGGGGCCGCTGTCCTCTGTAACTCTGGAGTCGTCATTGCCGCGGCCGCCCCCGAGTGCCGGGCTCCCTGGAGTTCAGAGACCAAGGTGTGGTCCCTGCTCCTTTAAGCCCCCGAGTTCTGGCCAAACGGCTGGAGCCTCCCAGCCCCTGCCCACCCACCCACCGCCCTTGCAGCTTCCCCCTCCTTTCTCTCCTCGAGAAGTTAATTTAACAACAACAAAAAATACGTACAAAATCCAGATGTTCCTTGCACTGAGCCCCAAAGGAAAAAAAAAATAACTCCAAGCCGGAGGAATTTATTTTTCTTGCGCTTTGCTTCTGACGCTCACTCGGGCCCCGGCTCTCGGGAGCGCGTCCGTGGGACCCGGCCGGAGCGCAGGGCCTGGCGGGGCCGCGAACGCCTCAGCCCTTCGTCTCGGGGGGTCGCTGCCCCGTGCGCTTCCCCGCAGCAGCAGAGTGGGTGGTTTTGGCACGTCCCTCTCCGCCGTTCCTCTCTCCCCTGGCTTGCCCCTCAATTCCAGGTCTGGGATATCCAACCCAGCGACCTTTGGAGACCCTCGATGCGATACACATATGGCTACACTGAAGTTTGGGGTGGCACCAATTCGAGCAGCCTTCCGGCTCTCCTCAGCCTACCCCCTTCCCGCCCCACACTGACTCTGAAGTCATGCCCATTCTCTCGCCCCGACTCCTGTCCGGGCCGTCCTTCGGCCACGCTGGGCCGCTGCCCTCCGCCCTTCACCTGTTCCCTAGCCCCTGGCCCCCGCGCCAGCGGGCGGCGGCCTGGCCGGCAGAGGGCCCTGTTGGTCCAGAAATGTGGCACCGCAGGGGCAGGGAGAAGCTGACTGGGCGAGGAGCCCTGCAGGTGTATCCTGTTCTCAAAGAAAATAAAATATTTTCATGGGAAACTTTTCCTTTGTGTTTATCTCCCCCTCCCCTCTCTCCTTCTGTTCCTTTCTCTGGGGTTGTCTTCCAGGGTCAGCTCCATGTCCCCTTACCTGGAGCTCCCATCCCAAGGCCCTCTCCTTCCTGGCTGCCTGTGGGGCTGGCCCTAACTGGGGCCCAGGCTGTTGGGAGGCTGGCACGCCCCTGCACGCCATCTGTGCAGCCTTCACCTCACCCTCATGGGCAGAGGGAGGGTCAGAGGATGGCCGTCCATGAGTGAGTCACGCCATCCTGTCAGCCAGCTGTGCCTTTTTGCTGTCCTGGCCCAGCCGAAGGTCTGTTCACCAGGCTCCAGACAAACCCTGGGCTTGTCTGCTGCTGGCCCACTTCTGCTAGGGAAGATCAGTTCTGGGGGAGGTTGGGCTCTTGGCTTCCAGTCCTGCCCCCCACCCTGCAGCATCTCTCTTTCCCCACTTTCCCTGCACTGTGCACCTCTGGGGAAGTCTTTGAGCTGTTAGTGTGTCTATTTCAACTCCCTCAGAGAAAAGTCCTGGTGGCCATGTGGCATGTGGGCAAAGCTTGATGCCCCGTGGTTTCTCCAGCCAGCTCACTTGGTTCTGCTTTTTGGCCCCAAAGGCCCGATCAAATGAGGATCCTGAGGAGCTTGGAGGCAGACGCGCTGCCCTGGTGACAGCTGGCTCTGCTGGAATCACTGCCACCCCTGGCACCAGGCAGGAGTCAGGGCTCTGCTCACTGGGCATGGAGGATGAAGGCAGCAGGCCCAGCACCAGCTGGGCTGGGAGAAGAGGAAAGGGACGGGTGCTGGAGAGGCCCACACATAGCATACACCTCAGGACAGTGGTGGACAGGGTGGATTCCCAAGGTGGGGCCGGGCCTGGGAGGAGGGGACTGCGTAACACATCCTGTGCTCTGTGCCACTGTGTAGGGAGGCCCTGTCTCTGGCCCATGGTGACTTGCTGGGCCAAGGTCTCCCTTTTCCTGGCCCAGCACAGGGGCAGAAGTGGGAGGGAGAGGGAGTAGGAGATGGCCTAAGAGAGGCAGGGTCCAGCTGGATCCAGTGGGCCTCTGTATTTGGTGTGCAGGGCAGAGGGAACGGGAGGAAGGACTTGATCCAGACCCTCTTATCCCTTCCCCCTCTCTGAAATCTCTGCCTGGCACCAAGGCTGAAGCCTCACAGTCAGGGCAGCTCCAGTTACAGCCCAGAAACCCAGAGAGGCTGGCCTGGGGGAGGGTCACGTGGGCAGCGGGAGTCCTCCCTGCCCCCTCTGTGAGGCTGCAACCCAACCCTGGATCCACTGCCCTGCTCCTGCTGCCCTCCTCTGGCCTCCGGCCACTAGGCAGGACCCTCCAGGCTGCCTGCTGGCTATCCTCTCTTTCTTCTGGCCTGGTCCTTTTCTGGCATGCTCAGCAGGTGGCATTTCCATTTGGTTCTCCCGGGGCTGTGGAGATGCCTGTACTGGGGGGCCTAGCCCCCTTAGCCCCATGTCCTCTTGGAAGGAGGGGGGACCCCCCCCTGTGGCTCCTAGCAGGAGGGCTGTCCCAGGCTTCTTGGCAAGTTGGGGATACAGACTCACGGAGCTGGGTAGGCTGACTGCTTTGGTCTCCCTTGGGTGTTAATAGGGGGTGGTGCTGGCCGGTGCCTAGTCCCTCTCCTGGCTGTATCCTCAGGTGTGTGCTGAAATTTGGTCATGAGGGGATTCCTCAGAACCCTGGGCAAGGTTCCTGCTAGCTCCTACACGGGGCCACGTCTGGGGCTTCTGGGGAACCGGGCCTGGCTCTGGGGCCCCTCACTGCTGTTTGCTTCTCGATCCAGGTGCAGGCTTCGGCAGGCAGCCTGCAGCAGGGGCTCCAGCAAGGTCACTAGACCTGCATCACAGGCCTGCCAGTGGCTTCCAACCTGGTTACTCTTCAAAAGAAGTAGGAAGGGGTGTCAGGAGTCCTGAGGCTATTTCATAGTGTTGGCCCCTGCACCCCACAGTCTGCAGGCTGGTCCTACCTCCCTGGTCCATGCTGCCTGGAGGCCTGCATGGAGGAGGCAGCACTAGGTGTGGCACTGAGGGCTCCCCCAGCCTGGCTGGATATTGGCACTGAAGTGTGAGGGATACTCAGAGCAGGTCTGAAAGGCAGCTGAGGTGCTCTGTACCACTGTGAATGGGGGGCCAAGTGGGTGTGAGGCGGTTTTTGTTATTGACATGTAACTCACATCTTGTAAATTCACCCTGTATCCACAAAGCTGTTCAGCCAGCACCCTAATTCCAGAATATTTTCATCATCCCAGAAACTTCATATCCCACTGCCCCACCCCCAACCCCTGGCAACCACTAATCCACTTTCTGTCTCTGGATTTGCCTGTTCTGGATGTTTCATAGAAATGGAATCATACGATATGTGGCCTTTTGTGTCTGGCTTATTTCACTGAGCATGTCATTTTCAATGTTCATCCACGTCATGGTGCGTATCAGTGCTTTGTTCCTTTGTGACCGAGCACATTCAGTTGGATGGACACGTGCGGTTTTTCTCATCCGTTCAGTGGGTTTTGGGTTGTTCCCACCTTTTGGCTGTTGTGGGTCATGCTGCTATGAACATGGGTGTACAGGTTTTGGGGGGCATATGTTTTTAATTCTTGTGGGTGTGCACTGAAGTGGAGTTGCGGGGTCACATGCTAATTCTGTGTGTAACATTTGGAGGAACCACCAGTATGTGTTCTGCAGTGGGGGCACCATTCACAGTCCCACACACAGAGCCCACGGCTCTTGTTTCCCCACGTCGTTGTCAGTGATTGTTATTCTACGGTTTTATCATTTTTAACTGTTTTTATCCTCACTGTCCTGGTGGGAGTGAGTGTCCATCCCTGGTGACTGGTGAGGTGATGTCTTTTCATGGGCCGTGGGCTTGCTGGACGTCTGTGCATCTTCTTTGGAGTAATGTCCATTCTGTTCCTTTGCTCAATTTTTGGTTAAGTTTCTCTTTTTGTTGTTAAGTGGTAAGAGTTCTTTATATATTTTGGATCTTTCTTGAACTGAGGAGAACCTGGTTTTGGACCTGTGACAGCCCACTGTCTGGCCCCTGCACATGGAGGTTGCCCCCACAGGTCTTCCTAGCTTGGCCCCCAGCTTAACTGTGTGAGGAGCTGGGGTACAGCTGCTTGTCTTTCTACCAGAGTCTGTTCTGGGGCCTGGCGGGGTGCCTGGCTGAGGAGGCTGCCCCAGCGCTACTTGGAGGGGCTGCTGTCACGGGGGCCATGCACACAGTGTCAGAGGTGAGGGCTCCCTCTGCTTCTCTGGTCACCCAGCGTGGGGCCCAGTGGGGCAGGGCATATGGGCACATGCCTGCAGGCAGCTCAGAGGATGGGTGCCCAGCTGGTCCCAGGATGAAAGAGGGAGGGCAGCTTCCTAGGGCCAGAGGAGCAGCCCTGCTGTGGAGTGACGACGAGGCTGTGCGGTGGGCCTGTGAGGGCGAGGAGTAAGAGAAGGTGCTGAAGGGAGAGTAGGGTGGCCCCAGTGGGGCACAGGGGCTGTGTGTGGGATAAGGACTGTGTGTGGGATGTGGGCCGAGGTCCAGCTGTGGGCAACCAGAGAGGGACTACAGGGGAGAGAGAGGCCCCCGCAGCCCCTGGCTGGGGACCAGCGGTGGTGGTACACGGAGCGGAGGAGGCAGGACTGTGGATGGTAGTCAGGAGGGTGCTGTCTGTGCAGACCCACCCCAGGACAGCCATGCCTGGACCCAGAGTTTGGGGGACAGGCCATGGAGAGCAGAATGTTCTGGTGGTTTTTCCCAGGAGCTGAGGGGCAGAGGGACCCAGGTAAAATCCTTATTGCCATGTCTAGGGCAGCCAAGAGGCCACACTGAGAATATTGAGGTCTCTTGGTTATGGCCC